GCCAGTGAATGTTTATTGGTTTGGAAAACCCAGCATCTGGGGACACTCCAAATTGCTAAAACAATGCACTTCAAACTTCAACAAGGAGCCTTCCAGCATGTCTCCCACCCACCTTTTCAGGGTCCATGTGGTGTTCTGCACCTTCCCCAACAAGCTACTTGGAAGGGACTCTGCTTGTTGTTCAGAGAAAGACGCATGGTTTCAGACCCTCTGCCCTGCACCCAGGCAGGCTCAACCCCCACTCTCTCTTTACCTCCCTAAATTAAGGCCCCCCCCCAACAATAAAGTCTTCTCTATTTTAACTAGCCACAGCCCTCTTTCTTTGAACCCTAAAATCCTAAAACCTAGCCACCTTCTCTCCTTCTTTGAACCCTAAAATCCTAAAACCTAACACCAGTGTTAAAAGTGGTGGCTTTACCTGCTATGCCGCAACACTGGCTCCTTATTCTTTTCTTTTTTTTTTTTTAAGATTAATTTTTTATTTGAAATGCAGAGTGACAGAGAGGGAGGGAGCAAGGGAGAGAGATCATCCATCTGTTGGTTCACTCCCCAAAAAGCTAAAAACGGCCTTTAAAAAGGACTGGGCCAGGCCAGAGGAAGGAGCCGGAACTCCACCTGGGTCTCCTATGTGGGTGGCAGAGGCCCAAGCACGGGGCCATCTTCTACTGTTTTCCCAGGCATATCAAGCAGGGAGCTGGACTGGAAGTAGGATAGCTGGGACTGGAAATGGCACTCATATGGGATGCTGGTTAACCCTCTCTGTACCACAATGCCAGACTCCAAGCTGATTCTTAAAGGATGGTTCCCCAGAACATTTTCTAACAAAAGTATCCAAGAAGTTCTTTTATTTTCAGAACCAAAACTATAGTGAAGACCATAGCATTTCAAAGCTGCTTCAGGTTTAAGCTTTGGTGAGGACAAAGCTCCTACTTCAAGGCTGTGCGTGAATCCTTTGCAGGAAGCTTTTCACAAAGGGACTGCTCATTTCCTTCCTCCTGGAAGAAACTTCCAAGGCATGACAGGGACAGTCACACGGCAAACACAGTTGAAGGCAAGGAGAATGCCAACGTGGACACCAAGGAAGCATCTACATGTTTTTCACAGAAGTTGGCAAGTTGTGGCTGACTCACAGACAGTGGTACGTGCTGCCCTTGGCTCCTTCTCAGAAGTAGAGGAGAGACACTTAGAGATAGTCTTGCATGACCACATTTTACAGTTGAAGAAAGGGGAGATAAAAAAGCTTTGTTCAATGTCCAAATCAACTTAATGGTTCCACTGGAGCCAGAACCCAGTCTTCTCACTCCCATTCCAGAACTCTTTCTATTGTGGTATTGTTGGAAGGCACATTTCCACGATGATGGGCAGGTCTGTATTCGTATTCCAGCTTTGTGGAGCTTATTAACTGTGTCACTTCCGGTCACCTTACTTTCATGGGCTCCTTTTTCTGCATTTGGAAAAGGATTATGTATTGTAATCTATTTAACCTATAATCTCATTTACAGTAAGGATTAAATGATATAAGTCCCAAAAACTAAAATAGAACTCAGCATATAGGAGATGCTCAATAAATTTATTGTCAAATTGCCTTGCCAAGTCCTATTATAGAAATGTGCTTTGTTTTTAAATTGAAAATTTCTAAGTATACTTTGCTGTTTGCAATATGGGCATTTCCCATAAAAATAAACAATTTTTAAAATATATTTTATTTTCCATACAAGCATAAAAAAATTCTTGGAAAAATCAAAGGAGGTTTTTGGTAATTAAATTCACTCATCCACTGATTTTTTTTCTTTTGGTTTTTAAACTTGATCTTAGTCAAAAGGCTAAGAAGCAATAGAAATTCTGGTTTTTATAAATCAGATTTGTCAAAGCAGCCAGGGCAATAAAAAATTGTTTCCCAATTTGATGACTGATACAATCTCTGGGAGAAGACTACATCCTGAGATAAAATTTTCAAGGTCTCTGATATACCAAGGTTATGAGATGAATGAGAGCCTCAAGAGTTATTAGGAAAGCTTATAATCCTGGGACTTCATATATATATAAAATGGCTGTTGGTGGTATGAGTGGGGAGAAGGAAGAATGAAAGACAAATAATTGTTTCTATGAGTATGAGGGTTTTATGTTTCAAAGCAATGAGGAACCATGGCAGAGTCTGAGAGGTTAATACAGAGAGGACAGGAGTCAAACAGGGAGGCCAAACCAAAAGGTATCGTAGACCTTTTTGGATTCACAAGACCCTGGTTATCCCTCAGTGACATGACACATCTCCAAACTGTTAATCAGACATATACAGATGAGAAATTCAAGACTCCTGGAGAAAGAATGACTTGTTCAAGTTTCATGCATACTGTCCCCTTACTGGCTGCTGACACAGGGATGAATACAGCTCACCTAGAACGTAATTTCCACTAGGGTAAAACTTTGGTTTTGTTGTTCTTTTTGTCTTTTGTTTTACTCTCTGCTTTATCCCCAGCACCAGGAGCGGTGCTTGGGAACAGCAAATACTACATTAAGTCTTGTTGCTGATGAATGGATACATGATGAATAAACAAATGAGCCACAGTTTCAGCTCTTGAACGGTTCATGTGTGGTGGAGAAGGACACCATGAAACAGGGGCCGGCGCTGTAAGCCGGAGCAGTAAGCCTGCAGTGCCGGAATCCCATAGGGCTGCTGGTTCAAGTCCCAGCTGCTCCACTTCCAATTCAGCTCCCTGCTTGTGCCTGGGAAGGCAGCAGAGGATGGCTCAGTACCTGTGCCCTGCACCCACATGGGAAACCTGGTTCGGCTCAGCTCTGGCTGTTGAGGCCATTTGGAGAGTCTCTCCCTCTCTCTGTAACTCTACCTCCCAAATAAATAAAAAAAATCTTAAGAAAAGAAAACCATGGAATAAATATCACTGCTGTGTGACAGACACTATGACAGAGAGAGTAAAAGTGCCAGGGGAGCAACCAGGAATGGGTCTTTATGTTAGGGAGATCCTCTGGTAAATGATGATGATTGAGCTGAAAGTTAAGAAAAACAAAAAAAAAAGAGTGACGGTAAAGGGAAAATTTTAGATCTTATTACAGGTTGAATAAAGGTAGGACAGCTCTTTGTGTCATGAACTCCTCTGGCAGTCTGGTGAGTTCTATGGGCCTCTTCTCTTCACAGTGTTTCTTTAAAATGCATAATGCAAGGGCCAGCGCTGTGGCACAGCGGGTTAACGCCCTCACCTGAAGCGCCGGCATCCCATATGGGCACCAGTTGGAGACCCAGCTGCTCCACTTCCTATCCAGCTCTCTGCTATGGCCTGGGAAAGCAGTAAAGAAGGTCCAAGTCCTTGGGCCCCTGCACCCGTGTGGAAGACCCGGAAGAAGCACCTGGCTCCTGACTTCGGATTGGCGCAACTCCAGCCAATTTGGCCAATTGGGAAGTGAACCATTGGATGGAAGACCTCTCTCTCTCTGCCTCTCCTCTCTCTGTGTAACTCTGACTTTCAAATAAATAAATACATCTTTTAAAAAATGCATAATGTCCTTTCTCTCTGTCTCTCTCTCCCACTATCCACTCTGCCTGTCAAAAAAAATGCATAATGTAAAATACACAGGATTACAGACAAATTCAGTGACACTCAATATAGTTACCAAACTTAACTTTGTGACACAGAAATATTTATGTTTTATTAACAAGATCTAAGGGTACTGCAGTTGTACATAGGTGTTGTGGTACTGTGGGTTAAGTTAACACTTGGGACGCCTGCATCCCATATTGGAGTGCAAGTTCAAGTCCTAGAACCTGTGCTTTTGATTCAGCTTCCTGATAATGCACCTGAGAAGGCAGAGGATGATGGACCAAGTATTTGAGTCTCTACCACCCATTTGGGAGGCTGGAATGGAGTCCCTGACCCCTGGCTTTGGCCTGGCCCAGCCTTGGCTGTTGTGGAGAGGGAACCAGTGGCTGGAGATCTCTTCCTTCACCTGTCCCTCTGCCTTTCAAATAAATAAATAAATCTTAAAAAAAAAAAAAAAAATCTACGGGGTCTGGCAATGTTGCATAGCAAGTCCCATATGAGCACCGATTCAAGTCCTTGATGTTCCACTTCCCATCTAGTTCCCTGTTAATGGGCCTTGGAAAGCAGCGGAAGATGGTCCAAGTGCTTGGGCCCCTGCACCCACATGGGAGACCTGGAAGAAGCTCCTGGCTTCTGTCTGGCCCAGCCCTGGCCATTGTGGCCATTTGGGAAGTGAACCAGCAGATGGAAGAGCTCTCTGTCTCTCCCTCTCTCTGTAACTCTTCATTTCAAATAAATAAATAAATTTTTTTTAAAGAAAAAAAGATTACAAAGCAAATTTCTTACAAAAATCTATGACCTAAATGTGGGCAATAACTACTGCAATTTCAAAGAAATGATAGTATAAATGATATTACGAGATATCTCAAGTAACTATGAGATGACAGGAAAATACTAGTGATTTCTAGTGTTAACAACATATGCCATTACTATTATTATAGTCTATTAGCTATATTTATAATTTGAGGGAATGTTTACTTTTAATCAGAGGTTAATAACAACAAAAGATATAACTAGTTTCCTATTCAAGATCACTAAGCCTGCATTTTACCCATGGTTCTCTTGGGAACTTGTGGACCAGGGTTAAGAACCCAGACCCCTGGGTGCATAATGGAGGCCTGAGATGGGGGGCATGGAGAAGGAAGAGATCTGTGAGGAATTTAAGAAAGAGAACAATTTAGTGGATGACAATTTGAAGAAAGAAATGAAAAGAATTCAGGTTGATACTTAACTTTCTGTACTAGTAAACTCATCATATGCAACATTAGGATAACTGATAAGGTCAGCTTTAAGTTCAGAAAGGCTTTCATGTTATACAAACCTTTAGGCTTGAGAACCGTAACTACTGATTCGTAGTTCTTGCAGATTCTGCCATAACTTGACAGATTTGGGAAGAAAGGACCATTCCTTGAGAAGCCAGATATATGACAAGTGACCAGAGCATACCTTTTAAGCTCAAGTGCATTGCTCTTTCCACCAGGATGCTGACTGCAAAAGTTCCATCCAATTCAGAAGAGCCCTCCTGAGCCAGGCACACTTCAGCAGTGGTGCTGCTGCAGGGGATCTGGGTGGGGACAGGAAGCTTTGGGTGCCCATAAGGTGGAGTGAGCTGGATCTCCTCATTCCTTCTGGGGAGCTGCTCAGACTCACTGTGGCTGCTGCAGTCCATGGAATCCAGTTCACGAGGAGGCTCAGGGTTTGGGGAAAGAGAGGAAAGAACCACGTGAACTCGTAAGGCAGCTCCTGAGAGGTTGGAAGCATTTCGTCCAAACAGAGGATACACACCTGCAAGATGATGGAGGAGAATAAGCTCAGGCAAGCATGAATCAGAAATACTTTTTTTTTTTTTTTTTTGACAGGCAGAGTTAGACAGTGAGAGAGAGAGACAAAGGTCTTCCCTCCGTTGGTTCACTCCCCTAATGGATGCCACAGCCGGTGTGCTGTGCCAATCCAAAGCCAGGAGCCAGGTGCCTCTTCCTGGTCTCCCATGCGGGTGCAGGGGCCCAAGCACTCGGGCCATCCTCCACTGCCCTCCTGGGCCACAGCAGAGAGCCAGACTGGAAGAGGAGCAACCGGGACTACAACCCAGCGCCCATATGGGATATTGGCGCCACAGGCAGAGGATTAACCAAGTGAGCCATGCCCCACCCCCTCCTTTTTTTTAAGAAATACTCTCTTGAACTTTGGAGGAAATACTCACCATGGGTGCCATGGTTCTCTCTCCTGTATAGGTCCTTAAGCCCCAGTACACCAATTTGTGAAGGAAGCTGTGAAGTTGGTACACACTGTGAGAATTTCCACCCTGCCCTACTATCTCTAGTAATGGAAAGGAGAGAGAGCTCTGATTTGAAGGCAAAGTCAATTTACTACCAGGAAGAGCTGTTTTGGAAGGGATTCATGCGTCGAAAGACAATTGCCTAAGTTAAGTCGAAGACTTGATGAAATCAGAAGTGGCCTGTCTTCTGTTCTGCATGTCTCACAGCCTCCTGTTTTCAGGCTCTCACTGCATCACAAGGCTGTCCTGGTTCTCAGTTTAGCCTCACCTTACCAGTTAACATATGTTCTGGCAGTAACCCTGAAGGTCTTTTGGAAGGAAAGTAGGAGTCAGTAGCAGGAGGCAAGAAAGAAGAGTAAGGGAAATAATATTCACTGAGTCTTTATGTGTCAGGATCTCAGGGGAGTTAAATAACCTGCCAAGATCACTCTTCCAGCGAGTGGTAGGTTTAAACCCAAGGATGTGATCCTTACTGGCGTGGCAAATATTAAAATGAGATTTTATTTATAAAGTAGAAGGCACTAATAGTTCCTTCTGAATCTCAAAGTTGGCTTCATTAGATTCATTTCAATCAGGGAAAGGAGTTAATGACTTACAGATGGCAACAGGATGGAACATTTCTAGTCTCTTTCTATTTTTAGGAAACTTGTTTTCTTCTTCTTCTTCTTTTTTTAAAGGATTTATTTATTTACTTGGAATTTAAGAGAGGGAGAGACAAAGATCTTCCATCCACTGGTTCACTCCCTAGATGGCTGCGAAGGACAATGCTGGGCCAAGCCAAAGCCAAGGGCCAGGAGCTTCTTTCAGGTCTTCCATGTGGGTAGCAGGGGACTAAACACTTGGACCATCTTCTGCTGCTTCTCCCAGGCCATTAGCAGGGAGCTGGATTGGAAGTGGAGCAGCTTAGACACGAACCAGCACCCTTACAGAATGCTGGTGTTCAGTGGTGGCTTTACCTGCTACAGCACAATGATGGCCCTTATTTTCTTCTTGATGCAATGCATACATTTTTATAATTATCACACAGAGGAAATAAGGGCAAGTCACTACAGGAATAAAGACACCCAAAAGCAGCACAGTGAAATCCTTACCCTCAGAAGCTTAACAGTATGTGGATGTATGAATGGATATATCGAATGGACTGGTTGACTCATTCAACGAACACATGAAATCCAATGCTTTGTATAAGGCCCTGGTACAAGAGGATAAAAAGCTAAGAGAAGGGCCGGCGCCGCAGCTCACTAGGCTAATCCTCCGCCTGTGGTGCTGGCACCCCGGGTTCTAGTCCCGGTTGGGGTGCCGGATTCTGTCCCGGTTGCTCCTCTTCCAGTCCAGCTCTCTGCTGTGGCCCGGAAAGACAGTGGGGGATGGCCCAAGTGCTTGGGCCCTGCACCCGCATGGGAGACCAGGAGAAGCACCTGGCTCCTGGCTTCAGATCAGTGCAGCCCGCCGGCCATGGCAGCCATCTGGGGGGTGAACCAACGGAAGGAAGACCTTTCTCTCTGTCTCTCTCTCTCACTGTCTATGTCTAACTCTGCCTGTCGGGAAAAAAAAAAAATCTAAGAGAAGTATGAATGACACAGACTATCTCAAAATTTAAATGACATCTCCGGTATCACCGAATAAAAGTTATTTGTGCTTGAGTTCTGACTCTTTGATATACATTCAGTGTCTTAAGCCTATCCTATTTTCTTTAAAAGTCTGTCTTTATGAACATTAGTTCAAGCAAGGTTGGCTCACTTCAAGGACTTGCTTTGCAGTCTCTGAAGAGCCTCCAAGTCGGTGTAGCACAGATAAAACAGGGCACAAGGCATTTGCTGTGGTGCTCGGCAGAACCAGATCTATCCCTGCTGGGGCCTGAGACAACCAGAGAATTTCAGACAATCACTCCAACACATTCACTTCTCTTTTAGTCAGGCCTATTTGTTCACCAACAATTGGGTCAGAGCAGTAAGGCTAAGAGGCATAAAACGGGGCCATGCCTCAGTTTCCTCAACTGTACAGCTGGGGAAGTAACCACCCTTGTGGGAGTGTTATGCTGATTAACTATGACTGTCAAGAATCTGGTCTGGCTACCTCCAATTCACTTTGAATTATAGTTGCTAGACTTAATTTTCTAGAATGCAGTTATGTTACTCCTCTCTTCAAAACCTACTATTACAGCTTTCCATAGCTCTCAGAAAAAAAAGTCCTAAGTCTTCTGCTAAGAATAGAAAGTCTGGGGCTGGTATTGTGGTGCAGCAGGTGAAGCCACTGCATGCAGTGCCAGCATCCCATATGGGCACTGCTTCAAGTCCCGGCTGCTCCACTTCCCATCCAGCTCTCTGCTATGGCCTGGGAAAGCAGCAGAAGACAGACCAAGTGCTTGAGCCCCTGCACTTTCATGGGAGACCCCAGAGGAAGTTCCTGGCTCATGGTTTCAGACCAGCCCAGCTCTGGACGTTGTAGCCATTTGGGGAGTGAACCAGTGGATGGATGATCTCTCTCTCACTCTTTGCCTCTGCCTCTCTGTAACTCTGCCTTTCAAATAAATAAATAAACCTTAAAAAAAATGAGAGAGAGGAGACCTTCAACACAGTACTCCTGTTCACCCCTCTAGCTTCATCTACTATCACTGCTCAACCTACATATCCTATTACCCAGCCATTCCCAAATCACCTATGATGACCAACATGTAGCAAACTGCTTCATGCCTGTGACTTTTTATGTACAGTTCTTTTCTTTAGATTATCTTTCTTTCCCCCTTTCCTTAACACTAAATCCTTTGGAACTCAAGTTACATATCACTTCCACCTAAATGTCCTTGAACTAGAGATGCATCCTGTGCTCCCACAGCACCACTGAGAAAGACTTTTTCACAGATCTTATGTTTTACTCTAAGTATTCATTATGTATTCTCCCATTAGACTGTATAAACTCCTTGAGGCTGGGCCTATTTCTTACTCATCTTTGAATTCTCAGGGCCAAACACATATACTAAGTACTAAATTAATTTTTGAAAGTAAAGTAACCCGTGCACAGCGCCACTTGTAAAATGTTTCCTTCTTCCTTTCTGCCTTGTGAACCTGTTTATTAGATTAGGATTCCAAGAGAGGAAGACTATCCTGGTACCTTAGCAGGTAGGATTTTTACTGCAATTAATAAATTAGCATTTGAAATGATGATATATGCTTTTATACATGTGGCTAAAGGTGCTCTCCTAAATTCACTGACTCAGATTTTGCATGTATTAACTGAATGAGTGCAATGTTCTGGGCACTGTGGTGGGTGCCCAAGTCTGATAAATTTGTATGTACTCTAGCCCCACAAAGTTCAGAGCAACCTCTGGGATCTATGGTGGTTCCACCCAAGTACCCTAACTAGGTAATGCTCTTCCTTAAGCAGCCAGTGGATTTCCTTGCTTTTGAAATTTCTTCAGTTGTAGGAAGCACTACTAAATTATTAACCTCTCAGCATGCAGCAATAGAAAGAACACTTACTAGCTTTGGGTCACTCAACTTCTCTGAGCCTCTGTTTTTATGACTAAAAGATGAGTCTGATGCCTATCTCAGAGGATTGCTGGGAGGATCAAACAAAGTACTGTCTGAGAGGTTGTTTCACATCATGCTTGACCCAGGGCAGGCACCCAACTCTCAAGAGTTGAGCCTGGCTCCTTACTTACCACTGACAGTGAGTGTCCGTGCTGACCTCTCTCCGAGCCTGGCCAGGTCCACGTAGGCCGAACCAATCCAGCTGTCAGTCTGATGCGGCCTCTCCACACTATCATTGCCATAAGCTCGCCAGACTTGGATCTCTAGCCTTTCCTCCCTAAAATACCAAAGCAGTGAGGGGCCCCTGGTGACTTCTGCTCTTTTGGAGGCCTTGAAAGTCACCATGACCTGCTTTTTGTTAGCAGATTCCTTTGGCTTCTTGAGGGGAGTCCAAAAGGCTTCAAGGTCATAGAGCTTATAGCGAAGGTAGCAATGCGTGCTCTTGTGAATGTGCCTGTGGCCAGGAAGCAGCACACACTGCAGGGGCAGCCACAGCCTCGGAGTGGAGATGGTGACAGTCGCTGGTTCCTCTTCATCCATCTTGACAAGATCCTTTAGGCTATCTTCAAAGCTCCAGCCCAGCAGCTCAGCAGCTTCTAATACCCGCTCTCTATCTCCAGGATGGGTAAAGGAAACTGAAAGCTCCAGACCACCCACGATCGTGTGCATGAGTTCCAAGCCGTGAGGCAGGCCCCCAACTTCTGGTAAAATGACAGGATACCATCCCGTGATCCCTTAGGGGAGCAAAGAAAGATTTTCGATTATTGTTTTTAAAAGTGAAAAAACTGACCCTCTCTCCAGCCCAGAGTCTCCACCATCTTGGCCCAAAACAAAAGAGAAAACACACATTCACAGTGTGCTGGAGTTTTCTTTCATCTGACCACTGAGATACGATAAGAACAAAGGCTAGGAAGTTAGAAGACCTGCGTTCCCTCCTTGGCTCAGCCCAACACTAATGGTTTATTCTGGGTAAGCCATCAATCTGTTTCAGCTTAATTTTCCTTACTTCACAAATGGGAAAATTAACGCTGATCTTAGCTATCAGATAACATTGTTATGACTGTCAAATGAGATAATGGATGAGGTAGAGCTTTGAAAAGAGAAGTGCTATAAAAGATGTAAAATGTCATTATGGTACTGTGAGTACAATGCAAAAAGCATGAGATAAAAAGTCAAAAGATCTGGCCGGCGCCGAGGCTCACTAGGCTAATCCTCTGCCTGTGGCGCCGGCACACCAGGTTCTAGTCCTGGTCGGGGCGCCGGATTCTGTCCCAGTTGCCCCTCTTCCAGGCCAGCTCTCTGCTGTGGCCAGGGAGTGCAGTGGAGGATGGCCCAAGTGCTTGGGCCCTGCACCCCATGGGAGACCAGGAGAAGCACCTGGCTCCTGCCATCGGATCAGCGTGGTGCACCGGCCGCAGCACGCCAGCCGCGGCGGCCATTGGAGGGTGAACCAGCGGCAAAGGAAGACCTTTCTCTCTGTCTCTCTCTCTCACTGTCCACTCTGCCTGTCAAAAAAAAAAAAAAAAAAGTCAAAAGATCTGATGTCTGTCCCTGGTCTTCCACCATTTGGTGAGCACACACCAAGGATCAGGCACTAGACTTCAAAATAATAGCTATTCTTTATTGAGTATCTACTGTGTATTAGAAATTCTGCTAGTGCTTTATATGTATTACTTTTTCAAAAAGATTTATTTATTTATTTGAAAGAGAGATTTCTCATCTGCTGGTTCACTCTCCACATGCACAGAACAACTGAAGGGGATTTATAATGCTTTTGAGAAAACTGTGAGGTACCTGGGCGAGGGCAGAAGTGTGTGTTAAGGGGGTTCTGTTTCCTTTTGTATCACTCACAAGGACCCACACAAGATGACCCTTCTTGTAGGAAAAGGGTAGGATCAGAAAGTGCTAAGCTGGGATCCTTACCAGATCTCTTGATCAGCAGCTCTTTTGTTGGAATCTTTACAACTCCAAGCAGATACTCTTTGCATGACTGGATACTGGTTATATCACTGACTAGTAAACCAAACAAAAAAGAAAAATTATTTGGTTGTCTACTGACTAAGAGGCTGTGTTCACAGTATGTCCACATAACCTTCTACTTATACACATTAAATTTCAGTGCTGAAAGATGCAGAGGAGATCATTTTGCTTGCACTTCAGTCAGTCTGGAGTATCCACAAAAATCATTTTATAAAATTAAACATTCCTTAGAAAAAATGTCAAGCATAAAGAAAAATCGCACAAATAAAACAATAAACTCCTACACATCCTTCATTTAGATATATCCATTAACATTTTGACACATTTGCTTTATCTCTCTATACTACTTCTATCCTCCCTCACATACAATACACATTCTTATTTTTTGCTATATCGTTCAGAGATCAGTTGCAGAAACTATGACTCCATGCCTCTAAACACTTCAGCCTGGATCTCCTACAAAGGGCTATACCATTCAAAATGAAGCCTCTTTTAAATTTCATTGTGATCAGTAAATTGTTGCTTACCTGACTTGGTATTTTCATGATAGATAGCAAAAGTAATTTCTGCAAACTCCAATAGCTCTGCCAGGAAACAGGCCTCTCCACTACTGTGCTGAGTTACCAAGTTACATGGGAACTCCAGGTGGTAGGAGAACTCAGGGCAGAAGGAGCAGGCCACAGGGCGGGTCCGGCGCTGTTCTCCCTTGGGCAGGAAGGAGAGATGAGTGGTGACAGAGGCATTGACTCCAACTGAGGCACTAAACTGCAGAGCAGGTTCCTGTTCAGCCAAAGCCCTGTAGGGAAAAGAGGTGGGAATGAGAGGAATGGACCAGGGTAAAATCAGAAATCAAACTGATTGCTTAGAAAATATTCCCACTACTTTCATTAGACCACCAAGAATCATAACGACTATACGTTTTCTTTTTTTTTTTTTCTTTCCAAAGTCCCCCTTTAGGGAGGGGTCGAAGGTCCTGGGTTGCCTTTTTTTTTTTTTTTTTTTTTTTTTGGACAGGCAGAGTGGACAGTGAGAAAGAGAGACAGAGAGAAAGGTCTTCCTTTGCCATTGGTTCACCCTCCAATGGCCGCCGCGGCTGGTGCGCTGCGGCCGGCACACTGCGCTGATCCAAAGGCAGGAGCCAGGTGCTTCTCCTGGTCTCCCATGGGGTGCAGGGCCCAAGCACTTGGGCCAACCTCCACTGCACTCCCTGGCCACAGCAGAGAGCTGGCCTGGAAGAGGGGCAACCGGGACAGAACCCGGCGCCCCGACCGGGACTAGAACCCGGTGTGCCAGCGCCGCAAGGCGGAGGATTAGCCTATTGAGCCGCGGCACCGGCCCCACACTATACGTTTTCTACCTAGGCTTTAAGCAGTGCCACAATGTGTTTTCTTAGTAATTTGGGTATCACAGTGTATTTGTAGGAGGTAATAGGAAACATCATTCATCACTCTGTTTATCAGAGTGACGCTTTAAGTACAATCCATTATGCCATCCTTGTCCGTAAGCCAAAGACCACAGGAACCAACTGCAGTGGAACAAGCTGGGTCTACAGCTCACTGAAAATATATGCCACGGGGAACCCTAGGGCATCTCAGTAAGAAGGTATCAGAAAGTACTTCCAGCAAAGCGCTCGTGCTGGCTGATTTTCAGGAGGTCTTAAAGGAGTCAGACTTTGTTCTTGGTTGGTTTTATGTATGTATGTATATATGTATGTATTTATTTAAAAAACTATTTATTTGAAAGGCAGAGTTAGAAAGATAAGCAGAGACAGACAGAGAGGTTTTCCTTCTGCTGGTTCACTCCTCAAATGGCTGTGACGACTGAGCTGGGCCAAGCTGGAGCCAGGAGCTTCTTTCGGGTCTCCCGTATGGGTGCAGGGACCCAAGCACTTGGGCCATCTTCCATTGCCTTCCCAGGCACATTAGCAGGGAGCTGGATTGAAAGTAGAACAGGGGCCAGTGCTGTGGTGTACCAGGTAAAGCTGCCGCCTGTGGTGCTGGCATCCCATATGGGTGCCAGTTCGAGTCCCGGCTGCTCCACTTCCGATCCAGCTTGAGGTCAATTGGGGAGTGAACCAGCGGATAGAAGATCTCTCTCTCTTTCTCTGCCTGTCCTTCTTTCTCTGTGTAACTCTAACTTTCAAATAATAAATAAATCTTAAAAAAAAAAAAAAAAGAAAGAAAGAACTTGAATCTGCACCCACATGGGATGCCGATACTGCAGGCTATGGCTTTAACCTGCTGTGTCACAGCATTGGCTCCTGGATTGGTTTTTATGGGTCTTTTCTAGAAGTAACTGGCAAAACAGTAGTACTCATTTTAGCCAGGTAGGAAGATGTTAGATATTTTGTGATTTGCATAGTGAATTTGTTTTGTCCTGTGCTTAGACAAGATTATGGAGAGGTCTTGTTTTTGTCTCACTTCCTCATGGACTGAGTGGCTCTGCTGATGTTAGTGTTTTGTAAAATTGTTTATACTCAACAGGTAAATGTCAAAGCCTAACTATGAATATTCAGCCATTTTCCAGATGTCAGTGGCTACTTTTCTTTTTCTTGGTATAGATGTTTCAAGATGTACAGATAAAATCTACCTACCTTTATTAATATTTTTAAAGATTTCATTATTTGAAAGGCAGAGGGACAGAGAGAGAGAGGGAAGAGACAAAGCGAGGGAAGGAAGTATGGAGGGAGGGAGAAAGAAAGGCTGAGAGATAGACTGATCTTCCATCAGCTGGTTCATTCTCCAAATGGCTGCAACAGCCAGGGCTGGGCCAGGCCCTCCTTCCTGGTCTCCCAAATGGATGGCAGGAGCCTAAGTACTTAGGCAATCTGCTGCCTTCCCAGTATATTAGCAGGAAGCTGGACTGGAAGCAAAGCAGTCAGGACTCAAACCAGCATTCTGATACAAGATGTGAGTGTTGCAAGTAGAGGTTTAACCCATGTGTCACAATTCGGCCCCTAGAATCCACCTAGCTTTAGTTGACACTCATCAACAGTACTCTTTTATGTGTAGGTACAGTATGAGACAAACCTCTTGGCTTCAAATTTCCCAAGAAGATACCATTAACCTTTAGGCAAAGAGGTCATCTAGTTTTGAAGCATTTCCCAATATCCCTAAAGCTGACTTAGTGGTTCCTTCCTCTTATTAGCCTCACTACTTAGTATGTAACAGGAGACGGTAGTACTCTGGAGTTACACAGATGTGGCTTTTTTTTTTTTTTTTGACAGGCAGAGTGGACAGTGAGAGAGAGAGACAGAGAGAAAGGTCTTCCTTTGTCGTTGGTTCACCCTCCAATGGCCGCCGCACCATGCTGATCCGATGGCAGGAGCCAGGTGCTTCTCCTGGTCTCCCATGGGGTGCAGGGCCCAAGCACTTGGGCCATCCTCCACTGCACTCCCTGGCCACAGCAGAGAGCTGGCCTGGAAGAGGGGCAACCGGGACAGAATCCGGCGCCCCGACCGGGACTAGAACCCGGTGTGCCAGCGCCGCAAGGCGGAGGATTAGCCTAGTGAGCCGCGGCGCTGGCCCACAGATGTGGATTTCAATCCTAGCTCTACCATTTACTTACTGTGTGATCTCGGACAAGTTACACTTAATAAAAAAGGAAAAATAACCTAAATGATCTTTTTTTTTTTTTAATTTATTTGAAAGGCAGAGTTATTGAAAGGCAGAGAGAGAGAGAGAGAGAGAGAGAGAGAGAGAGAGAAGTCTTCCATCCAGGGTTTCACTCCCTAAATGGCTGGCATGGCCAGAGCAGGGAACTGGATTGAAAGTGGAGCAGCTGGGACTCGAACTGGTTCCTATATGGGATGCCAGTGATGCAGGAGGCAGCTTAACCTGATAGTCCACAGTGCCAGCCCCCCTAAATGATCTGTAATAGAAGATTAATGTATATCCATACAATAGCATACTATGTATGTGCTTATTTTAACTGATGGAAAAATGGAATTAAAAGATAAGTTTAGAGGGTTAAGATACTGTGTGGTATATCCATATCCCACGTCATAGCGCCTGGGTTCAAGTCTGGGCTCTGCTTCCAATCCCAGCTTCCTGCTAATGTGAACTTTGGGAGGTGGCAGGCAATGGGTCAAGTAGTTGAGTCCTTTTCAGTCACATGGGAGCCCACAATTGAGTTCCCAGCTCTCCACTTTTGGCCTGGTCCAGCCTTGGCTGTTGTGGGCTTTGTGAAAATGAACCAGTGAATGGGAAAGCTCCCTCCACTTCTCCAAAAAATAAATGCAAATATAAAAGATGAGTTTATTTTGGTGAAAGTATTTTGAAATCCATGTATATGAGGGGGTCCTCAAAGACTTGATGAAAAAAATGCATACTATGATAAAACTATGTATAGATTTCCAAACATTCTTGAAGTAGACCAAACTTATATTTTAATTGTTTTTCCATGAATTTTATGAAATACACTCATATATAATAGCCTGGGAAAAATGAGATGTAAATATCAAGATCTGACCTCGGAGGGAGGCATTGTGGTATAGTAGGTAAACTGCTGCCTACAGCACCAGCATCCCACATGGGTGTGGGTTCAAGTCACGGGCACCTATGTGGGAGACCCAGATGGAATTCCTGGCTCCTGGCTTTGGCCTGGCCCAGCCATGGCCATTGTGGCCTTTTGTGGAGTGAATCAGTCAATGAAAGATGTCTCTCTCTCTCTCTCTCTCTCCCTCTGCCTCTCTGTTACAGATAAATAAACAATTATTTTTAAAAGATCTGACTTAGGTTTTCATAGGATCACTGACTATGATGCTGACAACTGACTGAAGGGAACATGCTGGTATAGGAGGTGATACTCAGAAACTCAAATGTATGGACATTGAGATTAGATTGAAGATGCAGTGACTGACATAGCATGGTTTGAGGGAATAGGGTTAAACCATGGGGGTTAAGTGGTTAAGGAAGTTACAGCAGGGCAGGTGTTTGGTACAGACAGGTGTCCATGTCAGAGTGCCTGAGTTTGATTCCCAGATCCACCTCCAATTGTAGTTTCCTGTTACTGCAAATCCTGGGAGGTAACAAGTAATGACTAAGTAGCTGGGGTTTCTGCCACCCAGGTAAGAGAACTGGATTGAGTTCCTGGTTCCTGGTTCTAGCCCCAGGTCTAACCCTGGCAGTGTGGGTATCCGGGAAATGAACCAGTATATGGGAGCTCTCTCTATATTTCTGTCTCTCAAATAAATCTTTAAAAACTTAAAGAAGGGTAGTAAATAAAATTGTTGGATAAGGTCACAGAACTAAGTTGTTAATAACAGTTAAAACAGCACTCTGCAACTACTTTACTTATATTCAGAAATATTTTTTTTTTCCTATTTGACAGGCAGAGTTAGACACTAAGAGAGAGAGAGACAGAAAAGTCTTCCTTCTGTTGGTTCACCCCTCAAATGGCCACTACGGCCGGCGGGCTGCACTGATCCAAAGCCAAGAGCCAGATGTTTCTTCCTTGTCTCCCATGTAGGTGCAGGGGCCCAAGCACCTAGGCCATCCTCCACTGCCCTGCCGGGCCACAGCAGAGAGCCAGACTGGAAGAGGAGCAACTGGGACTAGAACCCAGCACCCATATGGGATGCTGGCACTGCAGGTGGAGGATTAACCAAGTAAGCCATAGCGCCAGCCCCCAGAAATACTTTCTTAACTGTGGTTAGTGAACTGGAGATTGTATTCACACATACGAGCATCATGTTGTGCTGACCACGGTGAAGAGAGGTTTGAGAATTGCTCCTCTAAGGTGCACTTACTTGGCTGCTGCTTGCAGACCACAGGCTCTGATGATCTGGACTGAGATGGAGACAGTTCGGGCAGCAAGAACTCCCTCTGCTGTTCTTAGGCTACGCCTGTACCTTAGGCCCACATCCAGTAAACCTGAAGAATGAGGACAAAAGGAAAAAAAAGATACAAAGGTTGGCCAGAAGAATCTGTTTCACCAAACCACGAAGTCCTGGTCAGGAGGAAGGAAGAGGATCACCATTACAATCACGAATAACAGTAAGGAGCCTTGGCAGTCAGAGTAAGCCTGTCAGAAGCATATTAATTGTACCTTTTGGGTTGATGAAGGCAGAACAAGCTACTACTTCACTTTACAGTCAAGAAACTATGGCTCAGACATTCAACTGCTTGAAAGATTATATAACTATCAAAGGGAGAACTCAATTTCAGCTTTTTTTTAACCTACCAATTACATTTATAGAATTGAGTTGAGCTCCATCTTTTCTTCTGTTTTAAATCTTTAAAAGTTTTTCACACTTCACATACTTTTATCATTCTCTTATTATCAGCATCTGAAATATCCTTCTTTATATGCAACTTTATACTTAATGTCACAATTCAGGGGAAGGTTTTTAGGAACAATAGAACAAGCTGAGCAGGGAGGGTCAGTCTCAATTACAGCAAGAGAAAACCTTCTGTGTTGGCAGATGCTCTACAGCACACAAGCTCAGCAACCTGATTTAGAAGGCTCCTCCTGCTTATCTGGTGATGAACTTACAGGGCAGGTCATCCTGGGGGAAACATCAGGCTATAACATCATTCCCATTTCTAAATTATAATTTATCTTTTCCAGCTGCCAGTCCTAACCTTCTCCTCCTTACAGTGAATTCCCAGTTCATGCTAACTATATTTAACCAATCTCATATCAACTCCTTGGAACAGTAACTCACTGAGGGCAACTATTTAACAGAATTTATACTGTGAGGGCTTCTTAAATGCTTGGTGAAGATAAAGGTGAAGAGACAAGTGACATTAGCACAGCATCCATGAACTCATTTTTCTGAGAGGATGATCTCAGAGTTGCATCAGATCCTGAAGGGTACATACTCCAAAATGGGAAAAACTGCTCATGAGCAGTTTCTTATCTCATAAGAGCTGAGAAATATTTATGTACAACAACTTTGAAAGGGAAAGACAAACTAGCCTTCGATTACCTGATGATTGGTTCCTCAGTTCCTTCCTGTTTTCTAGCCTGGGGGTTAGAGGGAGATTAAAGGTCTGTATTCCCACATCCTCACGGTGCTGCGTGGTTACCATGGCACAGATCCTCGAGAGCGGCAATGTTCCTGTGGCGACCATCTGGTCTCTCACATTAGGATAATAGTATCTGTAAGCCACAAAAGGACAAGCTGTCAGTTGGAAGAATTAGCTAGAGAAATGATGCATTCTGCCCTGGAGATCAGCTTTCAGTATCTAGTTATCTTTGGTGCCTGACTGTTCTATACAGGAGATATAAAACAGTCTTATGTCCAGCTGCACTGATGGCTCATTACATGGAGGAAGAAGCCCATAAATTATAACCTGAGTGCAAGATAAACTCAACTTCCCAATGGCTTTCTGTCCCAGGAATCTGTATAGGCTTGGACCTCTGGGAGCAGTTGCTCCTAAAAGCTTCCCTCCTGCAGCAGCTGCAGTGGTTCCAAGGTGGAGCAGTCCCAATCTCCTTCCTGACTCATGCTTGTCTTCAGACTAGGCCCCTCTCATTTGGAGGGTCTACTCTATTTCCTTCTTATACCAAAGCCATTCATTACTGGCTCACAAAATTGCAAATCAAACCTTAGTGCCTTTTTTTTTTTTTATTTTTAAAGATTTATTTGAAAGGCAGACAAGAGAAAGAGAGGCAGCAAGAAGAGACTGTCCACCCGCTTTTTCACTCCCCAAATGCTACAGCAGTCAGGTATGACAGGCTGATGCTGGAGTCAGGAGCTCTGTCCTGGTCTCCCACATGGGTGGCAAGAACTCCAGTACTTGGGCTATCATGTGCTGTCTTCCCAGGCGCACTAGCAGGAAGCTAATTAGCAGGAAGTGGATGAGCTGAACTCCAACCAGAGCTCAGATATGGGATGCTGGCCTCGCAAGCAGCAGTGCAACCTGCTGCCACAACACTGACAAGCACCTTGCTTGGTGCTTTCAAAAATATGATTTCCACCTGATTATCTTTATGAACAATTTCTGGCATGTGGATGGTGCCCTTCCCCAGATCTGTTGCTTATACTCAGTCATTTCACTTGGTCTCCCGAAGGTGCAGGTGCAAAGGAGGGGACTCAACATCTGAATTTCTGTCAGTACCTTCTCTGGAAATCTGCTACCAATCTGCAGCACTGAGTGGATTTCTATTTTACAAAGGCAACTCTTGCGATGGTGGGAAGTGCAGATAACAAAAAACAACTTTAGCAGTGTAGATATCAGTTCGGAGGCTATCACAGTAATTTAGGCATAATATAAGGGCTTGAACTAAATAAGAAGGCACAAAAGTGGTGCCTGTTATGTTTTAGAAACAGTGGGAGCTAACAGTAACAGGACTTCACTTTTAATTTAGAGGTAGCAGATACAACTGCTCCCAAGATTTCATTAAAAACTGGACAAGAGTGGCTGTCAAATCCAAATAATATAAAAAAAGGGCAGACAGAGTTGCTCAGCTTCCTCATAATAATGCAACCCAGGCTGCTTAAGGACAGGATCCTTTATGACTCTGCATTTCCTTCTGAGGCTCAGGAGTAGGTTCGCTATACGGTACCTGCACCAGATTTCAAACTGGACTCCACCTCCAGGCACGACCCCTTTTGCAGAGAAGGCTCCTAGTAGGAGCCTTTGCACTGGGACTTCAGGTGGCAACAGGAGAGAGTGATGGTGCTCGCTGTGGAAGATGGGATCCGGAACACAGAGCGTGGTTGCAGTTCTGAAGGGCTTCAGAGCAATTCCTTGGGGAAGAAAAGCACACGACTTAAGGTTTCACAGGTAGTAGGACAGTACTTTAACATACAGTATTTAATTTTATTCTTACAATATTGCTGTAGAGATAACTAAGCTGGTGCTATTACTCCCACTTTATAGATAAGGACATGGACATCTTTCTGTATACTTATCAACCATGTGTCCATCTTTGGAGAAAGTTCTATTCAGATCCCATGCCCACTTTCTAATTGGGTTTTTAAAATTACTGACCTCTCAGAGTCCTATATATATTCTGTATACAGGTATATCTCTATTTGAACCCCCCGGATCAATACTGGCAGCACTTTGGCAATCATTCTTGGACATGCACAGAATGGTGAAAAATTTGAGTCATCCAATTTGCTGTTCCCAGCTGAGATCGAAAAAGGTGACAGATTCTTTTTTCTTGTTTCAGCTCTTAGAAATGACAAGGAGATGGAGGTGGTAAGAAGCAGTGTGACACAGTAGAAGAAGCTCTAGCTCTGGATTCAGTTGGATAGGGTTTGATTTTCAACCTTGGCACCTGTAAGTCAGATGGTCCCAGGCATATCACTTACTACCTCTGAACCCTGTTTCCTCCTTTGTAAAATGAATACATTGTATCAGGATAAGTTGTCTGTAGTATTTAGATTATGTATGATCCATGTGAGTTGTGCATATGTTTATATTTTCCTAGGAGCAACGGTTCAAGATTGCCTAATTCAGAGGTTGGTGCTATGATGCAGTGGGTTAATCCTCTGCCTCCAGTGCTGGCATCCCATATGGGTGCCAGTTCTAGTCCCAGTTGCTCCTCTTCCAATCCAGCTCTCTGCTATGGCCTGGGAAAGCAGTAGAAGATGGCCCAAGTCCTTGGGCCCCTGCACCTGCGAGGGAGACCCAGAGGAAGCCCCTGGCTCTGAAAAAATAGTCTGAAAAGCCGTTGCAGCCATTTTGGGAGTGAACCAGTGGATAGAAGACCTTTCTGTCTCTCCCTCTCACTGTCTGTAAATCTACCTCTCAAACAAATAAATAAAATCTTTTAAAAAAATTTAAAAAAACATTGCTTAATTCAGTGTTCATGGCATCTTTTACAACACGACTACTGCAAACAATGAGAATCAACTGTGTATAAGAATTATAGATAATTTCCTGAAACATGGATTTTTTTGTATTTATATAATGAAAGTTTGGAATGAAGTACTTAAAGTGTCAAAAATTCAAAAAAAAAAAAAAAAAGAATACAGATAATTGTATAATAAGAGTTATAGATAAGAATGCAAAGGCAAATGTCCTAAATGGGACAACACGTAAATAATTGGCAGATCTAGGTAAAGGGTATATAGAAGTTCTTTGTACTATTTTCACAACTTTTCCACAAACTTGAAATCATATCAAAATAAAGAGTTATCTTTACTTAATATAGAGCTGGTCTTCCGTGTACAAAGTTAACTGAAAATGGATCTTAGTGGAGACTGGGACTGGGAATGGGTGAGGAAGGAAGAGGAGGGGTGGGAGCGTGGGGGAGAAAGCGGGTAGGGTGGGAAGAATCACCATATTCCTAAAATTGTACTTATGAAATACATGACTCCTTAAATAAAAGTGTTTTTTTTGTGTGTGAAAAAAAAAAGTTACAAAAAATAGTCTGAAAAAAGAGAAATAAAAGCAAACTTAGCTGGGGGCTAGAGCTGTGACCCAGCAGATTAAAGCCCCAGCCTACAGTGCCGGCATCCCATATGGGCACCGGTTCAAGTCCCGGCTGTTCCTCTTCCGATCCTCTCTGCTATGGCGTGGGAAAGCAATAGAAGATGGCCCAAGTCCTTGGGCCCCTGCACTCATGTGGGAAACCCTGGGTCCTGGGAAGCTCCTGGCTCCTGATTATCTCCGCTCTGGCCATTGTGGCCATTTGGGGAGTGAACCAGTGCCTGGAAGACTTCTCTCTCTCTCTCTCTCTCTCTCTGTCACTACCTCTCTCTGTAACTCCTTCAAATAAATAAAATTAATCTTAAAAAAAAAAAAAAACTTAGCTCATCTCTTGTTTTACTGCCTCGGTATGATCGGAAACATTAAACAATACAAAATTCACTTAGGAAAAAAAAATATTAAATATAACCATTAAAAAAGAACCATACAAAATAAGAAGGCCTTATCGCCCAAACCTACCATTTTCAAGGAACTCGGGTCCTTTTAGAGCACTAGCTTGTGAGTCTTGAACTGGAAAGTAGTACTGGACATAACAATCTGCTTCTCCCCAGACTGTTGCCTGAAGAGGCACCAGCCCTTTAAGCATCTCCACATGGAACTCAAAGTGGTGCTCCATCAACCCATCTCTTTGGTCCTCTGCCTAGTCAATGAAACAGACACACTGGTGAGCCGTAAAGAGTAACTTGCTCATAGTATCCCTGCCTCTCTAGGAAGTCTGAGAATATATGAAGAAATAAGAAAATTGGCTGATGCTAAAACAAGATTCTTAATTTTACTTATGTATAACTCTAACTGCTCAGTATGTTCATACCCACAGGTTTTACTCTAAACCATGAAGTTGGCTTAATATTAGGAAATGCACAAATGTAATTTAGTGCACTAATGGAACAAAGAAAAAATGACAATCAATAAATTTAAAAAGGCATTTGACAAAATTCAACATTTGTTTCTTATAAAAGCTCTTAGTACACTAAGAATAGAAAGCTATTTCCTGAATAGAAAAAATAACATACTTGAAGCAAATATATATTAACTTAATTACTATTTCTAAAGAAGCTGAGACTGTCCAATAATGATAGGAACTACTTTGAGGGTAGTGAATACACCATATTGCTACTAAAGGTATACTGCAACTATCGATGAATTATGTATTTATTATTTACTATGAGCAGCTGTTTGTAATAGCCAATTTAACACACACAGCTACTAACAGTAGACTCATGGTTTAGACTTGGGGTGTGACTCCAGAGCCAGTGTTCTTTACCCCTATCCTATGTAGCCTTAGCACACATTAGACACTGGTTATTAGGAATATTCAAAGGGGGAACTGAGGGTTTAGATATGCGTCAGACTATATGATTTATATAGTTTTTTTTTTTTTTTTTTAAATTTTTTTTTTTTTTGACAGGCAGAGTGGACAGTGAGAGAGAGAGACAGAGAGAAAGGTCTTCCTTTGCCGGTGGTTCACCCTCCAATGGCTGCCGCGGCCGGCGCGCTGCGGCCGGCGCACCGCGCTGATCCGATGGCAGGAGCCAGGAGCCAGGTGCTTTTCCTGGTCTCCCATGGGGTGCAGGGCCCAAGCACCTGGGCCATCCTCCACTGCACTCCCTGGCCACAGCAGAGGGCTGGCCTGGAAGAGGGGCAACCGGGACAGAATCCGGTGCCCCGACCGGGACTAGAACCCGGTGTGCCGGCGCCGCTAGGCGGAGGATTAGCCTATTGAGCCGCGGCGCCGGCCGATTTATATAGTTTTTAATCAGGAAAAGCTGGGGCTGGTGCTGTGGTGCAGCAGGTTAAGTTGCCATATACAGTGCTGGCATCCCATATGGGTGCCGGTTTGAGGCCCAGCTACTCTGCTTCAAACCAGCTCCCTGCTAATGAGCCTTCGAAAGCATAGAAGATAGTTCAACTGCTTGGGCCCCTGCACCTGTGTGGGAGACCTGGAAGAAGCTCCTGGCTTCAGTATGGCCCAACCCTGGCCATTGTGGCCATTTGGGGAGTGAACCAGAGGATGGAAGATTTCCTTCTCTCTCTGTCTCTCTCTTTCTGCCTTTCAAAAAAATTAAATAAATAAATCTTAAAAAAAAGAATTTTTCTTTGAACTCTCAAAACACATTAGTAATACTCACTCAAGAACTACTTAGGAAACAGAAAACTTGGAATTTGATTCTCTAGAGCAAAAATTTTAGGTAAAAAAACTTTGTCACCACAGTTGCCTAATTTATTCATGTAATATTTACCGATTTAATAAATGCCTGCCAACAGCCAGAAGCCAGGGAACTCCTCTAGGTCTCCCATAGGGTGGCAAGGACCTAATTACGTTGGCCATCATCTGCTGCATCCCAGGCACATCAACAAGGAGCTGGATTACCAGTGAGGTGGGACTTGAATCTAAACACTCTGATATGGGATGTGGGTGTTTTAAGAGGTAGCTTAACTGGCTGCAACACAATGCCTGTGCCTCTACCTCTAACTCATTTTTAAAGGCAATTAAATTACTAGAGAAAAGGAGTACTTTCTGGTTGTCTAATTAGATTTTCTTTATAAATTCAGGATGCTAAGAGGGACACAGAAATCCATTTAAACCATAACAGAAAAAGACAAATGATTGCTTGGGTTTATAGCAAGCACTGGAATGCAAATTATGTTCTTTTGTTGAGCTTTTCATTACTGACTAAGAATTTGGGACAATGGCTTCAATAAAACAGCAAGAGAAAATGAAATTATGGTGTTTTTGTGACCCTTATTGTCTAGTCAGTACCATAGCAACAGATGCTACAGGTTGCTGGTCCAGGAAATGGGCTGGCCTAGGGCTGAAGGGAGGGAGTGTTCCTTCTTCATTCTTTAATCTTTGTAATGCCATTATCTGGTCTGAAGAACCCATAGCTAAAAAGACTCGAAGACTTCCATTTTGGTGGCCTGAGAACACATCAATCACAGGCATGTAGCTGTCAACAGCAACAACTGGATACTGAGCTTCAAGCAGCAGGTGAGAAATCTTGGGATCTCTAGAGGAGGAGAAATTGTGAATGAGCAAATAACAATCATTAATCATGTGACAGAGTTGCTTTGTTTCTTAGTTGGTTTATCACAATTTAGTCAAAATGGATGTATAACTAGAAAAGTTAATAAGTAGTTTTAAATATTGATTAGTAACCAAATAAAAATTACCAGGCAGTTAAGTTCAACAAGTAGCTATTTGAGGGCAGTGAATGTGTCAGATGGTCTGTCTGTATTATGGGTCCCAGCCCAGGGTCGGCAGTGCAACATCATTTTAGCTGGGACTCGCTGAACTGCATCGCTTTAGAGGGATGCAGTGGGGTGAACAGGGAAAAGGGTGGGCACTAAGCCTGGCAGGTAAGACTGGGATAAACTACCAGTGACATCTGCCATTTATTGAATGTCCACCACATGGTAGGCACTTTATAGTACTTTTAATCTGTTAATAACTGCAAAGGTTGATATTATCCACCATTTGCAGTAAAGAAAAGCTAAATTCAAAAGGGTTAAGTAGCTTACTAAAGATACACCAGTAGGAGGTTGAGCTGGGATTCAAGCGTTGATCCACATGATTCTAAAGCCCCCAACGGTATCCTTTATACCAAGCTGAATCTTAGCTCTGCCACTTGCAGTGTGAGACTCTTTTCTGTCTTCTCATGTGTGAAATGGAGGCAATTCAACCCCCATCCCAGGGCTGTTAGGGCTAAACTGAGATAACAAATATCAAATATCAACAACGATGCTTGGTACACAATAAATGCTCAGTAATTGGTAGTTACTATTGTTTTGTGCTCTCTTGGCCTAGAACAAGCTCTAATGGAATGAGAAGGGAAATGGAGGAAGGGGAATTCCAGATCAGATAATATTGCAAGTACAAAAAGGGGAAAAGTCAAAAGCCTACAGTGGGCAACGGCAGTCATGATCCCATTACTTCTCAGCCTTTCCAAGCTTTCCAATGTTATCACTGTAAGCACTTAACTTCACACAAGGTGTACTCAATGTGTTTTCTCACTGAATCTTCACAACTGCATCGTTGGAGATGGGGGATCTATCATCATCTTCATTTTACAGAAGAAAAGAAAGCCACAAAAGGTAAGTGACTTCTCCCAGCCAAGTGACATCAATTTCCTTATTTGTACACCAGAGACTAAGTGGTCAAAGTAAAGCTCAAATGAGATAAGGGCCACAAAAGTGCTCCTTGTAACATGTAAAACACATTTAAAACAGAATCATGAGGAGCTGCTAGGTAAAAGGTGAGTGCCAAAGTAAAAATTGGAACCTTGAATGAAAACAACAAACAGTCTCTACTGAGAATAGAAATGATCTTAGGGTTAATCAATATCTACCAAAGTGTTAAATTCAGGTATATCAAATATGAAGGTCTAAAACACAATATTCATTACAGAAATCTTGAAAATAGCTGCTGTGAACAATACTGAGGCTCTGTGACAGGTTCTGATTAGCTCTGTGAGATGCTAACTGCAGGCAGTAGAGCTTTTTAGAGAAGAGAGTGACTCTTGAGCCAGGCCATCCCTGAGTTCTTCACCTGGCTCCACTCTAATGACACGTGTGATAAGTAATTCAATGGCTCTGTGTCTGTTAACTCTTGGGTACAACAGGGAAATCAAAGTAGCCACCCAGAGGTCATTATGAAGATTAAATGACTTGTGATAAGTATGGCTCTTAGCACTGTGTCTGAATCCTGGTTAGCAGTGTCTGTAAGGCTGCTTCAAAGAGGAGAAAGAGCAGTGACCATGGTGCATGGAGAAAAGTCCTCCAAGGGGCTGCTGGGCTCCAAATGTCTGCAAACCCAAAGGATTCCTCTTCAGTCCACACAAAAATAAAGATGCAAAGCAAAACAAAGAATACTCCAAAAGATCCTATTTACTTGAATGACATGTAAAACTGATGGAGGGGGAGTTTCACCAGCCCGAGCAGCTTGTCCTGTCCTGGGCTCCGCACCTTGTTCCAAGTTTCAATTACCATCACGTTGTTCTTAAGCCTATCCAGGTATTTGGAAGACAGAGAGACAGGAATCACCTGGGGGAGAGGAACAACCAAAAAACCTTCAACAAAACAAACCCCACAACAGAGAGTAAAGGTTGATTTATACTTTTATTCACCCAACATTTACTGAACGCCTGTTGCGTATAGGCAGTGTGAAGATATAAAGCATCAAGATAAAACCCACTCTGCAGGTGGAAGTCTGCTACTGGAGACTCAGGCATAAAGGCAAGATACAAACCATGAAGAGTCCTCTGATGGCAAAGCTCATTTATGAGAGTACTTCAAAATGCTTTGGGGAAAATGGAATTAAAATACTAAGTTTATTAGGCAGGTGTTTGGCACAGCAGTTAAGCTGCCACTTGGGGCACTTGTATCTCATAAGTGAGTGTCTGGGTTTGAGTCCTGGCCCTGATCTCCAGTTCAGGTTCCTCCTAATACACACACTGTGAGGCAGCAGGTGATGGCTCAAGTAGTTAAGTCTCTGCCATCCAAGAGGGAGACCAGGATTGAATTGTTTATTTTGGTATAAAAACTTTTGAAATCCATCCATATGAGAGATCTTCAAAAAATGGAAAAGATCATCTGCTGGTTCACTCCTTAAATGGCTGCAATGGCCAGAGTGGGGCCAGTCTGAAGCCAGGAACCAGGAGCTTCTTCTGGACCTCCCATGTGGGTGCAGGGACCCCAAGGCCTCGACCATCTTTCACTGCTTTTCCAGGCACATTATCAGGGAGCTGGATTGGAAGTGGAGCAGCTGGAACTCGAACTGGCACCCATATAGGATGCTGGCACTCTAGCTTTACCCGCTATATTACAGCCCTGGCCCCTAAACTTATCTTTTTTTTTTTATACTTTCTTTTTTGACAGGCAGAGTGGACAGTGAGAGAGAGAGAGACAGAGAGAAAGGTCTTCCTTTGCCGTTGGTTCACCCTCCAATGGCCACCGTGGCCAGTGCGCTGCAGCCAGCGCACCACGCTGATCTGATGGCAGGAGCCAGGAGCCAGGTGCTTTTCCTGGTCTCCCATGGGATGCAGGGCCCAAGCACTTGGGCCATCCTCCACTGCACTCCCTGGCCACAGCAGAGGGCTGGCCTGGAAGAGGGGCAACCGGGACAGAATCCGGCACCCCGACCGGGACTAGAACCCGTTGTGCCGGCGCCGCTAGGCGGAGGATTAGCCTAGTGAGCCGCGGCGCCGGCCCCTAAACTTATCTTTTAATTATACTTTTCCATGAAGTTTTTGTAGTACACCTCAGCAATGAACTTCTGGGACACAGAGAAGGTTGCTAGACACGTCAAACATGGTGCTTGTCACCTTTTGTAAGACAAAGTGACCTACTTGTAAACTCTGCTGAGACAGAGATGTTTTTAAAACAACACTGACTGGACAAGGGCTGAGCAATTATCAAAGGGGAGTCAGTCCAATGGATAGCATTTAATGCAACAGCCTGGTGGAAAAAGCTCTGCCTGAAGGGTATCACAGTAAACAGCAAAGCCAGTTGTTCATCTGAATTTTCAATAGTAAAATTATTCCAGAATTGGTTAGCTGGTAGTTGAAAAAGAGATGACAAGCCTACCAAAGAGAACCAGAGATCTAGCACCAAATATAGTTCCGTCAAATAAACTGGAGAAACCAAGGCACCAAGTGTAGTGAAGGAACCCAGGTGTAGTAACTGTACTAGCAGATGGGCATAAGCCCCAGTGATACAACCAGTAGAAAACATGAGAGGCGGGGCTGGCACCGAGACACAGATTAAGCTCCTGCCCGCAATACCAGCATCCCATATTGGAGCTCCAGTTCAAGTATCTGGATCTCTGCCACATCTGTGGGAGACTTGGATGAAGATCCTAGTTCCTGGCAACAACTACTCGGCCTGGCCCAGCCCCGAAGAGTGAACCAGCAGATGGAAGATCTCTTTCTCTCTGTCTCTCCCTCTCTGTTACTCTCCTTTTCATATTAATAAAATAAATCTTTACAACAAATAAACAAACCAAAGAAAGAAAACATGAAGGGCAAAAAAGGTGAAACTGGAAGCAGTACAAGTCATACTGAGAAGATACTAGAAGAGCAGAGAACCAGAGCAGAGTTGATTTTGTGTCCAGCTAAGAAACACTATTTATTATACAAATGAATACATTTCTGCTCTTTGAAACTAAAAAAGTAAAACGAACACAGCAACCTAAGCTCCAGACAGGGAAGTTTCAGAAAGAGCTTCTGGGAGAAGGTAATCCTAAATTTTAAGGCTGAGCTGGTGTTAACTAGCACAAAGAGTTCTGCCCAATATGTGTCACGAAGGCTAAGGAAGAAATTCAAGGCAGAGGAACAACACACGTAAGACACAGAGGGAAGAGAGAATTCGGGAAACCTGAGTAGTTGACCACAGCTGGACTACCCAGTGTGAAGGGAAGAGCGGCAGAAGTGGAAAACAAAATACAGCTGGTTCTTAAAGGATCTTGGACTCACATTCAGTCCTGAAGGCTATGGGGAATCACTGAAGGGTTTTAGGTAGAGGAGCAGAGTGTTCAGGCTAGTGTTTTAGAAAGAATGCTCTTCTTGGTGCACAGGGAAAGAACTGGCAACAGGGAGACCGGTTTAAAGGCTCTCCGGAATGAGGGTGAGGGCCTGAATGGAACCAGTGGCAATGAGGGTGGAGGTAAGGGGGTGTATTCCAGAGGCGATGAAGTTTGCAACACTTATATTGAATTCGATGAGTACTTACATAAGAGAGTCAAGGACAACTTTGAGGTTCTATTTAAGTTTCTGAGTAAATTATAATATGAATGAGGGTAGACACAAAGAAGAACAATTTGGGAGGAAAATAAATTCAGATTTGGAAATATTTGAATTCCTTCTTTCATTTAAACATCTTTATTGAATGTCTGGAACATGCTAGGCAATGCGTTAAGTGCCAAATGTAAGGTGCTTTTTGGTGATAACCAGCAAGCAGTTAGATCTGAAATTAGAGGGAAAAGTCTGGTTCACAGGAAAGTTTAGATTTAGAAGTTATCTTCATAAAAATCACAACTGAAGCTGTGGGAATAGATGTGATGACCAAAGGGAAAAGAAGGTTGATTTGGAAAGTTGCCAGGGATACAGCAATGAATGGGAACATCGACACTAAAGGTTCAGAGAAAGGAAGAACTGCTGAGGTTATCGCCGTTTTGCTAGCTTTTCCTCTTAGCCCAAAATATCAGCAGTAGAGTCAAGAGAGAAAACAAGAAAGTGGAGATAAAAAACCAAGAAAGAAAATAATTCTACAGACAAATCACATAAGATGAATATTGAAATAAGTGGAGGGACAAAGGAGACCGAGGGTGAATATATAAATAAAAAAATAAAGAAGCGATTAGAGATGGGAGGGTCCATTAAAAAGATCATGGAAAAGTGGAATTATAAGATGTCTGTTTTGGTGTTTTTTTTTTTTTTTTTTTTACAGGTAGAGTTATAGACAGTGAGAGAGACAGAGAGAAAAGCCTTCCTTCCTTCCTTCCCTCCCCAAATGGCCACCATGGCCGGCGTGGTGCCCATCTAAAGCCAGAAGCCAGGTGCTTCTTCCTGGTCTCTCATGCGGGTGCAGGAGCCCAAGCACTTGAGCCATCCTCCATTGCCCTCCTGGGCCATGGCAGAGAGCTGGCCTGGAAGAGGAGCAACTGGGACATGAACCTAGTGCCCATATGGGATGTTGGCGCCACAGGTGGATTAACCAAGTGAGCCATG